CTCTCACCCTCACACCCTGTCTTTGCCTCACATGATGTCTCTCCCTCCTCGCCCCCCTTCAGCTCTCCCTCAGTTGCCTGATGCCTCACAGTTGGAGGACTTCTGTTCCAAAGCATACTGTACAGTGATTTCCCAACACCCAGAAAGCCAGCCATTTCAATTCCTGCCAGTACCCTGTGAATCAACCTGTAGAAACATGGAACTTTCTTAAAAGAAATAATCCATCAAACTATCACCTTAAAAACTTTGACTTAAAATAAAGGTGACAAATCTTTCACTGTGGTGGATTACTTTTCTCAAGCAAGTTTTAACTCTCTGCAAGTTGATGCATAAAATGCTGGAATTCATGGAAAAGAATGGCTTCTTGAAATGTAGGTAAATTAACTAAAAACCCACGGTATCCTGTTATTTGGATAATGGTGGGCAGAAATGTACAACATAAGCAATTTGCAATTATTAAACCTTAACACAGAAACCGCTGGTATGGTCTTTTCAACCTAAAGGCGCCATAAGTAACATTTATAATTCCCCAAAGGACCATAAAGATTTGTAATACTGTAATGTTTGGGAGTTGATATTGTTTGAAAAGATAATGTTTGTTGTAATGTCTTTAACGTAAGCCTAACAAATCCCAATAACTTAATTTATTTTTTATGAAAGTTTACTTCAACAAAAACTCAACATAATCTCAAAAACCCCACAGAACATCTTGTAACACATCCCAGTTAAAACTAGAGGATTACTGCTTCTAACAAGCTGTCACCTTAATGTCCACAGTAAAAAATCGCACTAACAACCTGCATTATTTTTTAACCCAGAAGAAACCCAAATTCCTTTGTTAGTGCATATCATAACATAAAATAAAAATATCTGCTGTATTTACGGCCCGACCCTTTAATAATATGTCAGGATAATATCTGATATAGTTTATAGAGGGTTGAGCTCAGAAACACCTCAGCTAAGCTCTAAAAACCTCAGCACATCCTACGACACATCCAAGCTGAAAACCGGAGGATTACTGCACATAACAGGCTGTCACCCTCCGGCCGGCGGTGAAAAATCACAGCTCTCTGTTTCCACTCAGGGACAGCTGGAGAGGAGGCTCACAATGCCGATCACACTGTACTGTACAGCTTGTAAAGCTGTCCCTACACTGCATCACATCACAACATCTTAACTCATAGTTTGATGTAGAAATTGTATGGGAGAGAATTTGATAAATCTCACATCACTCTAAATCTGCTTCAATCATGTAAATTATTAATATACATTTTATTCATGATTGTTTAATTGTATGTATGTTTAATTCTGACTTGTGGCATATTTTGTGTTATATGTTGTTCATTTAATTACTTCTGCCTATTTTGTCCAGAACACTCTTGGAAATGAGAATTTTAATCTCAGTGAGGCTAGGGGTAAAATAAAGGTTAAAAAGAAAAAAATTATATTTTTTTAAATACTCTATAATTATTTGATTTGAAGAAGTAAATAAAAATGATTTGTTTTTGCATCATTATTTTTAATCATTTTTGTTCCTCCTTAAATAGTTTTGTTATATCTTTGTGATGGACTTTTTGTGAGTTACTGAAAACAGTGTTCTAAAAATTGGATTTCACAACTCTAAAGATTGATTGTGTTGGTTGATGGATGATATTTGTAGTATAAGGAGCTGTGGGGATTCCAGTATTATCCAACTGTATGATGAACAGTCTGCGGTCACAGAGTGTGTGTGTTCTGGCCTGTTGATGGAGAGCTGAGCCAAATATTTATTAGAGAATTTGTTCGATTATCAGACACTGTTGGGTGGGTTTCAGATCTGTTGGGTTGAAAAGGGGGCAGGCAGCGAGGTCTGGCCCCCTCCGAACATGTGGATCTCACACCTCGGTGGCAAAAGGTCATGTATGAGAGTTAACAACTCAAGAGGTGTCTCACCTCACTGCTCCTATTTCTCCTCCCTCCATCTCTCCGTCACACAACTCTGCAAATTAAACACATTCCTCTTTGCCTATTCACTGCTTTCTGATTCAATTTGAACTGCCACTCTTTCCTCCACCCCTGCTACCCCATTAATATTCCACCCCCCCCATTCCTCACCCCATTTAGATGCACACACACGAGCAAATGAGCAAATGGTCCCTAAACTTAAAAGAGCAGCTCAGGAGCATCAATCTGAGCATCAGCCCCAAATCCCTCAAACTAACATGTGAGTCAGGAGGCCAAACAGCTCAGCAACTGGATCTGTGTTTGCTTTTCCTCCAGGGATGTCCCCTTCTTCCCCTCCTCTTTTATTACATTAGGGGGTGGTCAGCTCATCCGCTCGGGAGCCCTCTGCTGTTTTGATGTGTGTCCCTTCATCCTGTTTATCTGTCTGCTTGTCTGGATGACCAACCGAGAGCCTAAACCCTAATTGACTTGGCTGGAATTTGAGGGCCGGAGTTCCACAAGCAGCAGGTAGTAATTACTTCACAGCAAGTTAATACCAACAGCATGCTGGGACGGGTGTGGGGAGGTAGGATGAGGGCGTATGGTGGGACACTGGGGGAGGTGGCGTGGAAAGAGGGTGTATAGTGTTACTGGCTTTCTTTCATCTGCCTAAATAGAGATATCGGAGCAACTCTGCGGGGTCCTCGTCTCAGTGACTCCTCTGGCAGTTTTCTGAGGGGAGGTTAGCGGGAGTTTGAATCCTGGCCGGAGTGCAGTGTGTCCTCTCTGACCTTTTGCCATTCACTCATCCCTACAGTCACCAGCCCCTCCTCTCTTTTTGGCAGAAGCCCCATGGCCTTTTATCCTTTTGGCTGTGAGGCTTCTGTGATCCTGTTTTCTATTGCAAACAAATGAATGAGGCTCTTTAGTTAATGTGTTCCAGATCAGTGACATTATACTCTGTGTTACTGGGCAGTTTGAGGTGGGAAATAAAAAACGTGGATAAGGGACACATGGGGTCAGCAGAAATACAAAGGTAATCGCTTTGACCCTTAATTATTGCTTCCTTTGCAAAACATGAATGGCCCCTTCGAGCTCCGGCCGTCACCGCTTTCCTTTTTCTGCGACGATCGTGTTGTTTTAAACTCAGGCCTCTCATTAAGGAAAGAATAGAAGGATATTAACACTATACTTCACACATTCACTCTCAATGTATCTACACTGTACATTTTTGTGTGTCTTGTGACACAATGCACATATGTTTTTATTTTGAAGCAAGATTGCACACATTTTAAAGTGAAACTATTGGTTATTGGTACTTGCTGTTCTCAAATCTTGTGAGTATATAGTTTTTTAAAATGTTCTTTAAATAAAAATTCTGATTCTTGTTGGATGCTATTTTCATCATCATAATTTGTATAGGCCCAAGACTATAACGGCATTATTTCATATATGTAGAACTAAATTACTTGCAATTTAGTTATTATTTTTTCTTTACTTGAGATGTAAGACATACAACCTCCGCTCCACCATGGAGAATAGATACCTCTTTAGTATTTTCCTTTAAGAACATTTTTAATTGTATGGTACATACACAAATTGCATTGCTAAAGATTATCTGCACCCAAAAGTGTACTGTTGTAAAAATATTTGGTGCCATTATTTTAAAAATGTCACATTACAGCTTTCACATTATTTTTCCTGGTAAATAAAACAACTGATTTCCACACATGATGCTTATGCCGTGTTTACGCAATACATGATTTAATCAGGGTAATTATCCGCTCATTGCCCTTTTGTGTGTGTGTTTTAAACTATCCTCCTAATTAAACTTGCTATTATTGGTGTTATTAATGATGCCCGATAAAATGTAGTTTGGAGATCATACTCAGTGATTATTCCTTGTAAAAGATCTTGTGATGTGTGACACCCTGTTGCTCATAAGTCATGTAGTTTGCAAACCTCTATGACTCCAAAGGTCCAAAGTTATGTAGTGTGACCACAGCAGAGAAGGGTTTTGAGGTACTGCTGAGAGCACTGAGCATGGACCCAAAAATCAGCCACAAATCAGGTTGCCTTCAGTTACAAAAACACCGACCATCACAGTCATTAAAATAACATAATTTCCATAACACACATGACAAAATCCTTTAAACAATGCACATCAGGAAATACATTTCAAGTTAGTCACCACAGTAATTTTGTGCTCTTTTACTTACATGACTTGGAAGGGGCAGTTGGGTGTGTGGAGGAATTTGAGCTCTTTGATGGACCGCTGAGGAACCGTGCTGAGAGTGGAACGACACCAGCACCGCTCTACCAGACTGATGGGCTTAGCTGCAAACACAAGAAGGAAAATTACAAATTAAGTTTACTGTCAGTGAAAGAAAAAGTGATTACAATTATAGAACACTCTCGTGGTGATTTCAGCTGTTCAGCATACTTACTGGATAGTTTTATAAAGTTAAGTTCAATAATTCACTTGGTTTTTGCACATAATGAACTCAATTATTTTAATAATTATGCTGTTCAAAGGCAGATAAAGCAACTGATATGGTACACTGCCAAAATTTTTCTTTGAAACAATTTCAACATTTCATTGTTCATTAAACAGAGAACGGGTCATTCTGGTTCATATGAGGATTTAAAAATGTACATCAACTTAAATTAAAATCCAAATTCAAACACAGTAGCTTCAACTTAATTTCAGTTGTGATTAAATGCATCACTTCCCTCAGTGGACAAATTAAAAGCATGTTTAATCTACTGTAACAAGTCTTTAAAAGCATGGGAACGTATAAGTTTACCTGCGATTGCTCTGAACAACATGTTCATTAAAAAGAGATTAGCCCTTTTATGACCACTGTCACACACACACACACATGCAGAATTTCAGCTTTTCACTCCCAGACCATTCATCCCAGCCACTCTAATGCAGAAGGGCCCTCAACATTCAATTTCCAATATTTGCCTCTTTTATGAAGGAGCACTCAGCGGCTCAGACATCCTCTGTGGAAATCACCTCGAGTACATTCTTAAAATGATTACAAATCACCCCTGTGCCTCCATGGAGGTTTGTGGGGGCCCAGAGGACCACAGATGCACAATAATAACTTCAACTACGTGCAATTACAAACTGATTGTAGTTTTGAAAAATGTGCAGTTTGCAGATTTTCCAAAGAAATGATGATGGTTATAAAAATGTCAGAGAGAGGATGAAGAGAAACACTCTGCAATAAAACGTTACATCAGGAATCCACCCTAATAGCCTTGATACTGCGGAGTGCTTTACTCAATATATTACATGCACATGGTTTCAAAGAAAAAAATGCTTCATTGAGGCTGCAGAGTGCGTCAAAAAATCATAAAAGGTCACAGAGCAGATGCTGACTTTGCAGAAACTTTGCAAATTGCAACAACTCATTCTTTGTATCAGCCACTTCCTGCCCAGATAAACACAGAAATTACTAAATCAAGTGCATCTCGTGTAGCTTACAGACCTTTGTTCTAGGGTTCACAATCCCTATTGATATGCATGTTTATAGTGCAACACCAAATGTCCTGCCACAAATGGCTAAATCCTCAGTAATATCAGCCTAATGATTCACACCCATTCAGGGTCTTTTCTCATGCAAACTAAAGGATCATTATGCAGCACACAGCACCGGGGCCATGAGCGAGCTTCCACTGCTATCACCACCGCATTGTTTATCCCTAATTAGAAACTAATTAAAAGAAAGCAAAGGGAAAAAACAAATACACACATTTAGGCCAGTCTCTTTAATATGCAATCAGGGGTCTTACTGGGGCCGAAACAACAAGCTTAGCATAATGCAGGCCAGGCGACTCATCGCCCCGGCTTGTCTCCTACCAAGGTTAACATGTGGGAGATTAATGTGGGGTCACTGTGGGAACTGCACCACTCCTGTGGTACCCCGAATGATTTGAATCCAAAATAGTGAATATAATAATTACTGAAAGATTTGGCAACCTGGTTTATTGCTCATTAAAGAAGTTAACAAAATGTGAGAGTTTACTGTCAATATGTTGTTTTGTAACTTCTATACCAGTAATCTAGGGCTAATATAATAACTTTTATTACTGATTA